TCATCGCTAGATTTTGATAAGCACTTATGGGTCAAGCGAATTCTCGTTCCGTTGGAGCATGGAATTAACCAGAACCCTGTTCTAAAACCCACACACGGCTAATTATCGCGCCTGCCGTTACTTGGTAATCTTCTTAGTAGGCACAACGAATGCTTTCGCAGCTTCGGCGCGAGGAACCCGATATTTACATGGCAGGTGATATCAATTATCCCTTATCCCTCGGGATAAAGGTGCTGAGCTGCAGGTTGCGTGCCAATTTGTTCGATTCGCGGCCAAGCTCGTCCGCTCTCGTTTCTCCGGCGTTCCTGGCAGGGATAAGTCGAGAGGAGAGTGCGGTTCATCATGGACCTGGGAGATGATGCGAAGGTGAGATATGTAGAGTCTGGACCTGCCCTTCGATCGGTCCCACCTTTGGTGCGAGAGGAAAGCTCGGTTCGTCGCCTTCTCGACTGGGCGTGACGACCACGTAGGGAACCAGGTCTAGTAGATAAATACCATGATGTAGGCCTGCAAAAACAAATAACTTCTCAGCCCTGGGCATGAGGGCCGGCCGAGACGGCACTTAAACCAATCTCACCTTATTTTGGTGAGCTATCGCAATTTCGAAAATGGTTGTCTCATCACCGAGCTGGCTCCCGACGTAGATTACAGGGCGCGCCTGGGCCGTCGCATTACGGTGTTGGTTTTCGAGCCTTCTGCGTTAAAAAGACACGTGTAATCATCCTTTGGGGCTCCATGGAGCTTCGATCTCGGGCCCGATGCCTTTGCATTCGCTGCCCTTGGCCCTGCAACCCCAGCATCCGTTGCTCATGGACCAGCTCTGGGCGCACGACTTTTTGCTCGACCTGCCGTTTGCATAGGATGCGCGCGCTTAGGGTGGTCCCAATCTCAATGGCGATGTGGAAGGATGAGAAGCGACTCCTAGCTCTGCGGTTCAGTCCCTAGCATTGTGTTCTGCCGCACTCTGGACCGACCAGATGATCCGCTGTTGATCTCGGGTCAGTCTGGCTCCAGACTCAAGGTATGTGTCCTGGTGCGTGCTCCATCAGTGCTCCAATCTTTGGAGGTACGTCAAAACCGAATCGGGAATCGATCTCGTACCTCGGCCAGGTTCTCCTCAGTCCAAGTCTTGGTCCAAGTCGAATCGATCCGATCTTCCTGCAGCCGAGAGAGCAGAGAGTGGTTATTTCGTGATTTATCTCCGAGCGGAGGCCAACTCGGGACGAGGCTCGCGGAAGCTGACGCAAGTCCCCGTTCCATCGGACACGAAATTGCCGGTGTTTTTGCGGACGGCGTGGGTTTTCGAAAGATGCGCTTTGTTTTTGCGAGGACGTTGCTCACCGAGCGACGGGAACTTGCCGCTCAAGATGGAGGAAGAAGAAGTTCGCCTCCTAGGAGCGGCATTCGCACCTACCGGCTCCCGCTGTTGGGCTTCTGATATATGCGCGATAATTACAGGCCTTGAGCAAACAGTTAGCCTCCTCGGCGTCTTTCGCAAATGAGTCGCGAGCAAAAACCCCATTCGCAAATCGGGAGCGATCAGACCCGCGCACGAGGGGTGGCTGCCCATGGACACCTCCTGATGGACGCATCCGGCAACACATTCCAGCCATTATTCCAATAACCATTTGGAAGGTGCATTCGAAACGGAAAGTGCACGGTAAGCGGTACCCTCCTGCACCAGCGAGGGACCAGATTACCGTGACACACGCGAGTGGCACGCGCAGCGCTCGCTCCGGCTCTTCCGCTGTTGAAGAACCAGTTCCATGTATCCGCATACGGCTGCGACCGGTATATCTCGGCCGATCCTGCCTCGGCAGAAGTATCGCCAGGACGATCGCCAGCAGGATCACCGGCAGGATCATGGGGGGGATCGGCGGCGCGATCGACAGGCCGCATTGGAACTCCGGAACGCGATGGACGCGGACGCGGCATTAATTTCCGCCTTGATCTTGATACGGACAGCGGACCGCCACTGCGATCTAGATAGGGTTGGCCGACGCCTCTGTACAATGCAGCCCTTCGGGCCCGGCCATATCGTATTAACGAGCCAAACAAAGAAACTCCATGTAGGCGAGAGAGAGTCGCAGAGGTGTCCGACCCGGCCCAATTACGAGAACGACGTGGATAGTGTCTCGTCTTCTGTCCTCCATCAATGAACCGAGACCCACTGTGTTCCTGAGAAGAGCAAAAAGTCCGTGGAAATGGGCATCCCATAGGAAAGCGTTTTTCCGCGGTCTTGGGTGCGTACCGGTAGTCCTTCGGACTTGACGCCCTTCCGAAGGCGTATCGGTAATTCAAGATGCGAGACCGCCTATCCCCGGTGTTGGATTTCGAAAAAGTCCTGGATTAAAATATTCCCGTCCATAATAATCCCTTCTTTTGCGGAAAATAATACGAATCGTGGAATCCGACACCTGATCGTTTGAGGCGGGGCCAGGGAGCGGGTAGAGTCCCCCTCGATGGCCCGAATGTTTTCGATATTCGATAAGATGGTGGATTAAGGGGGTTGAGTTGCGGGACATTATACAGGGATAAGGCTCCGGCTGAAGTCCCGGACAGGACAAGGCTCAACCGAGGTTCCTTCGGGCTGAGTGTAAAATCCGCTTTGCAAGCTTTTTCACGGTTTTACGTTTCATAAACATGCCGGGATAGGGGGAAGGGTTGGAAGAGCCCGATGGGACTGTTTATGTCATTTTGTCGTGACGCCTGTACAAATCCTTAAATCGTGTTTGCAAGCCAAATCTTCAATAAGGAATATGTAAATTTCGCAACGTTCCTTAGACTGGCACGAACCCAATGAAATAAAATATACAGGAAAAATTAGTGCTCTTTCGTTTCTAATTTGTTCCCCCGTAAAAAACATTGCTGCTTGAGCCATTACAAAAATAACGCGGGTAATGTTATTATCAAGCTGCTGCGACCAATTTCATAAAAATGACAAAAATAACTAAAATTAAATAAAAAACAAGGAAATTATGCACGTGGTCAAATAAGTTCCACCAAGCCGGAGTACATCAGCTTCCCCATTTTTTGGACTGCGTGGTGATAACACAACGACCTGTCCCGTCACTTTTTCTGAAACACTTGGGAAAATATAATCACGTTCACTCGTAACGAGTTGCGAAGAAGTCGCCCTATTTGTCTTAGGACTTTTTCGAAGATGCCGAAGGAGCCCGCTGAGCTTCCGGTAGTTTTTTTCTTCCTGAGAGAAATCCATCCGCAGAGGAGCTTTACCCACGTGGAAGGTTTATTCGAAACGCAAGAAAATTCTTCTGGGACCACCTTTAACTCGAGGACCTTTTTTAACTATCTTCCGCTCAACGAGAAGAGCGCTACGGCGACGCTGATGGTTCCAGGCTATAATTTTTGAATTTGATTACAAACTAACCAGACACTCTGCTTCCCTAGGGCTACTTCTGCCCTGAAAACAACGCCCACATGGACGCGAGCACACCACGTCGTAAATAAAACGAAATTGTTGACCTAAACGTTCGGTTTGTTATAACCGTTAAACAACGGCCCCAGGATGTCGGCTGCAGTATCTTCGATCTCTGTTTGCCAAGGCATACATCACCCCCGAGATAATCGGGAATAATTATTTGTTAGATAAATACGATCTCACCGAGCGATAATTCGCTAAATTTACGACATGGCGATGGCGACGCAAGGTGCACCGCCAAGAATGGCGGATGCTGCATGGACCAATTTTCCTTGAGGAACCGTACGCAAAAGACCGACTTCACTCTGGACCTGAATGAGACTGCTGAGTGTAAGAAGATACGTAACCGGAGTTTTTGAAAGCAGAGCAAGCAGGAATCTCTCGAAAGACCAAATAAGAGTACGAGTCGGCGGACGAGTTAAGAGCGCTCCTCTTCCAAAGCACACGGCTGTAATCTTCAGCTATCAAACGTTGTAAATGTTCCGAGGTGATGATTTGCGACCTCTCTAGAGGGAGGAGACATGGCAGGAGAAAAGAGCGACTTAAACTTTAGATTCAATTTCGTTGGGCGTCAGAGGCTGACATCGCGTCCGCCCACCAGAAGAAGCTTGATATACGACACGTTACTCTACCTCTTCGAGGTCAGAATTATCTTCCCGTATATGTTTTATGAAGGAAACATTGGAATCCTGCTTCCGATTTAATTCCTTGAGTCCGTTGAAAAATGCATTTGGTGCCACGAGCAAAACCGTTTCGTTAACGGTGGCACTGACATCACTAGATCCCTTCCAGACTAGTCTTTGATAATAACGCTTATGCAAATTGCCAGTTAAAAATTATAAACTACAAACAGCTGCAGAAATATCAGCTCGTTCTTGGCAGGAAAAGTGGACCATCCATTTTTGGGCAATGGTTGTCTTTTTCGGTGGTGCAATCAAGAGTGCGCCTCGAGAGCTCCTATCACATTCCTGATTACTCGACCCGCGCTTTTGTCGTTATCCGAACAAGTTATGGGATACTTTTATGCCACGGCTTGACTTTATCGTTGCTTTCGCAAACGGGCGAGCGTTCCCAAGGCGATTTGTCGTTTATCGGTCCGAAATGTGCGATTTTTTATTCCCTTGATCGGATCAGGGCGAGTCGCTTGACGTCGTAATTCGAGGTGGCTTTCTTGGCCGACACAGCTCTGTTCTCTTTGAACGATTCTCTTCGAATGAGATCGACCTGTTCCGAATTTGGAGGAGATTAGGATCCGTAATTCAAGCGGACGTGTTCATATGTGGGAAACGGAGCTTTAGAATATTTCGATTCTAACGTTAATCGGAAGAAAAGGTACACCCTGTCGCTGCACAACTGCTACGTAGCTTTATTCAATTGTTTCCGCCATTTTGGTCAGCAGATTCAAGTTAAAAATCTGTCAAATGTCACGAGAAAAATTCAAATTTTTCCCCCGCATAATTATAGAACCGACAAGTATCATTCCCAGGACAATAAATTTGTAATTTGAATTTTCATTCAAAATTAATGTGGCGTGATAAATTGCCGATCGACTGCCAAGATGCCGAAGGAACTGCCAGTGGACATGCTAAACGACTCACTGAAAGAAATCGTCTTCAGGAGAAAGAATCATGACAACTTTAAAAAGTTAGCCCGGCAGACACATTTTACCTACAGAGAAGTAGAAAGTTACGATTTTTCCTACACGGCTACATATTCACTCTTGATTCAAAAAGAGAAATTGAAAGCAGGAGAATTTTTTCACAGCACTTGGACTGATACACCGTAAAGTCCTGGAAGTGATAGGGCCCATGCACAGACTGACATTTCGAGATGTCGTTCACGCCGGATTGGACTTTACCGAAAATAAGCGACATCTTTTAGTGGACAGAGTGTTTTCAGTAATTGACAAGCAGAATACTCTACACGTGAGTTGATGGCAATATTTTGAGTTAACGTCACACTTATCACTTTAAAAATCCATTTAACCATATTTAGCTAACTTCGGAGCAATGGACCGATGGCCTCTCCGTCCTTCTGCGAGGAAACCTTGACGAGAGAATACGCTTCGGATATAAAGTCGCTTATTAGTTAAAAAAAAAAAAAAAACGTGCTCGTTTCCCTCTTGCGACCAATTGGCACCCTCAATTTTTTTGTAGGTGTACGACCTCATGAAAACCAACAAGTTGAGAAAGGAGCAAATATTTCCCATGATGAGAGGCTGTCTGATCAAGCAGCAGCCCGACGAGGACCCAGATGAAGGGACGAAGGACATCATCGAATTGATGTTAAAAAAATTAGACGTCGATCGAGACGGCAAAGTCTCGGAAACCGATTACAGGACAGCAGTGGAAGATCGGAATTTGCTCTTTCTGGAGAGCATGGGCCCGGTGTTCCCATCTAGAGAGGCGCAACACGCCTTCCTTACAACGATTACCACTCGCCCTGGACGATTCTAACCTCTGGTCATCTTAAACAAGTCCGCAAAAATGTTCACTGTCACTTAGTAGGTGAAATTAATAATTCAGTTGTCTCGAATTCTTGCGCTTTCTCTCCGCGGCGCTTTGTGGGTTGGCAGCTGGTCATCGCAGATGCAATGTCGCAAAATAAGCAGGATAGCTTGGGTGTAATTTTTCATTTTAACGAGCGATGACCATTGGCCAGGGCAGAGCATGTCCCTAGGTCGATGAATGCACGGAGCAACCCTTTGGGTCTCCTGACATAAGGTGGAGGCACCGTGGCCCGGTCACACCTCCGTCCCAAAATACGATACACGGTGGTTCGCGATACTAATGACGTGTCCGATTTGCATATCAATCGTGCTCGATCGTCCCTGCAACGAAGCAAGACCTCTTCTCGCGAGGGCGGTCGCACTAGGTCTCCCAACCATGTCCGACTTCCGCCCAGCAGACATCCGGATGGTCCGGGTCGTTAGCCGGCCCAGCGCCCCAAACCAGCCGCTTCGTTTCAAAACCCGAATTCTGATATTTTCCCAAACGCGTTGGACACGCAGGTCCGACAAAGGTCTGCGGACATTGTCCCATTGTCGCCCCGTCATGCGTCGGCATTTCGTGAGCCCAAGAAGAAGGGTCATCTCTGGACCATGCGGCGTTCCGACATGCCCATCGAGGGAATTTTGAAAAGTTTCGAAAGCACTTCCAATTTTGTTCTCATTTTGCTCGGGCCGTCGGTCACGGATTTGAGAGAGATCTCGGCACGAGATACCCTTCCGAGAGCATCTCGGGAAGGGTAACGCACGGCCTCGGCCCTTGGCTTGTATCGAGCCCGATCGCCGGTGCTCGGAGCCAATTCCTCCGAGCTGGACGTAGTTTCCCGCGATGCGGCCGGCAATTACCCACGGGCCCACGGCCTATCCGGTAAGTCGAGGCGGGCCGACCCCTGACCCCTGGGCTATGTCTGCTGCCACGGAGGCTGCCGGTAATCACGCCGCATCGCGAGGCCCGCGTCGAGTGCCGCACCGGGCCACGGGCTCCGTGTCGGCAAGCCCTGCGTGCCGTCCGTGCTGGAACTATGTAATTTTCTTGCAACTTCGGAAATAATCGAGCGAGATCGCCGCGGCAATTCGAGGAACGAGTCGCGGAAATTGCCGATACAATGTCGGCCCTCTCGCGGGGAGCGCCAAGTGAAAGACATCCCGACCAGCGCCCAAAGAAGGACCTTCCATTAGAATTCCATCGACGCAGGAGCGTTGCACCCTTGCTAGGATTCTACGACACGGTCTCCTCCTGCCGAGGAATCTGGGAAAGGGGAGAAAAAAATCCCAGCTGGGAATCAAAAAGCGAATTCCCCAGCCAGGGCCGACCGCGCCGAGGTTCTGGGGTCAGCCTTGGCGCAAGGTCCGGCGCTCCCATTACCCTGTTATAAATCATCCATCCTCTTATTTTCGCGAACCTGTTCCATTGGAGATCTGGACGTGTCCGACGAGCCGGGTCAATGGGTCAGCACCTACCGAGTGAAACGTTCTCTCGAATACCCCGCGTCGACTCGAGGAGCACCCTCGGCCGCGTCGTAAAAAATCGGCGATCGTCAGAGAACGGCATTAAGCGGGCGGGCTTTGTGGAAATTCTTGGGAGAGGTTTCCTTGATTAACGATGGGTCGCCTTTATTGATTGCGCCGCCTGTGGGCCCGAGGTGTGCAAGAGAGGAACGAGCCCGAGCCCATGAGCACGAAGGGACCCACGACGCGGCCGAAGACCGATGCATTCGAATCACGCGCGTTACCCGAAATTAGTAGCCATAAAATTTTAATTAACCTCCCCTAATCCGAGTACCGGTCGTTTAGTGATAACCAAAAAGTATTTTAATAGTCGCGGCGCGTGTGCGCGTCCTAGCCCATCGGAAACCGATGATGCGGCGAGTCGCTCCGTTAAATTTCAATCACCATAAAGTGTCGTTTATAACGAAGCACGTGGACCGTGGTTTCCGCCTCCTCTAAATACCACCTTGCGTTAATTCCCTCCCCTCTATGGGGAATCGCTAATAAAGTGTCTAGGCGATCTTGCGATCGGCTGCAGTGATGACCAAAATCGGTCGTGGTCTCCCTATCTTGGTCTGGATATCAAATTTAAGACTCTACTATCGAGATAGATTTTGCTCATCACTGATCGACCAATCCCTGATTCTCTGACGAGGGTTCCCGTAGTAATGTCACGCTCGAAGCGACGTAACACCTCAATTTCGCACGTGAACACTTGGCAAGCTGCGGGGGCGGCTCGTGGCCCTGAACCTATTCGATTGGGTAACACGCAAGAGAACGTAATCGGGATTTCCTTTAGCAGCAAGCCCGGTACTCGGTACTTGGCCCCAAGTACTTGGGACTCAGCAGCGAAGAGCGGCGAAGCTATCAACGTAAATCAATAACCGGAGCACTTCGGCGGCCTATCGGCCAGCTGCTGCCGGACTCGCATTCCATTGGCTATTGCTTTTTCAAGCCTTCTACTTTACGAGGAATCAGGCCGTTGATGTTGTCGTAAATAACGATACCTCGGGACTACGTGTACGTATCCCGGAGGATGCACATAGATCCGTGCTTTGGCTTCTTGCGCTCATTTGTGTCCTTCCGGTACCAGGAAGGATTATGGTGTCCCTTGATTGGTTCCCAGTAATTACCATACGGCGACGACTCGATACCTTGTATATCAGTTTGTAGGCACATTTTAGATCGGGAGGATGCATGGGGTCCGGAAGTTGAGTCTTCTAGAAATCCCAGTTCGGTCTGGGTGATGATGACCAATCGCGGCACTGAAACTCCTCCAGCAACACTTTAGGAGCTGGCAGTGCCTTAAAACACACCCGAGGTTTCCCTCCGACGATTACCAACGAAACGCGCAAAACTCGTTAATCCTTCTCAGCCCTGAGCAAATCCGAGATTAAATTCATGAAAATCCAATCGGGAAGGAATCCCCTACGGGGACATCACAAATGAATAATTCATGCGCGCGTATGAGCCACGTCTTCGCAAGGTGTGGCCATCTCGCTCGGTTCTGGGGATGTTCCGTACCGCGGCGTGTTAAAGAACGGTTGTAACCAGCACGAGTATATGCTGGAAGGGCACTTGACTCCTTTCCTGAGCATTTCTGCAGAAACGATCCTAACGCAAAACGGTAGCGCGCAGTGCGAACAGCCCGAAGCGCCGGCTTCCATGCGCACACCGTTCCTCTTTCCAAGCTTCTAAATCATGATCCACTCTGAGAAAAAAATTCTCTTAAATGAACTGAAAAAATGTAAAGCAGGTTTCGACTTCTTACTTTAATCATGTAAAATCTGAAGTATCGAGCAACGCATTCGGTACCTTTTAGCGAACACTATAATTCTTCGATTTTATGCTACAGTCTTTTCAACTCCATTCAAAGAAATCATTTCTTGGGGAGAAATAGATTTTTTCCCCAGTGCAGTTTGTACCCCTAAGAGTCGGGTCTCCGCCTTCACTTTCGATATCGTATCGCATCGCCATTCATGGCCCTGGGTTTGAAGTTCGAGCCAGCCTAGTCGTGCTCGAATTTCCTCAATCCAAGCGGGCACAATCATTGTATGCAAATGGCGGTAGCTGGTGGAGCCGCTACGTTTAAGCGGTGAGGACGGTGGTCGGGTCGGCGAGGAACAGCCCGCGGTGTCCCTGAATAAAACATCTCGCGAGGAATTTCAACTGGAGATGCCCGTTCCTGCGGGAGTCGTTAAGTACACGTCGCACCAGCTGATGCTAATTAAAACGAGACTTGGTTCGGAGTACCGGCCAGCAGGCCGCAACCACGGATGTGGCCGCAACCACGCCAACTGCTCGGCGCGCTTTTGCCTCACGGCTAAGAATATAAAGATCCTACTTAGCCGTTATTACGAAGCTACCTCGTGGGTAGATCATTTTGCGCCACCCTTTTTATGCGAGCAAGGGCACGTGTAGTGCGGATCCTTGCAAACGGTAGTCAAGGTGGCAAGGAACGATTTGCTCACCGAGAACTGACTGTGATCGCATCCCGGTAGGGAAGGTCGGGGTCAATGCAATCGCGTTAGTAAATACCACCACTGGTATAAAAATCCCACCGGCACCTGCTACCAGTTTTCCTTCGGCCGGGGACTTTGATTCCACGAGGATTTCTGTTTGCGGTGCATTGGGATTCCTCCTACCGGAGTGGGCAGCTTCCGTGATGAACGACCCATCGCTTAATTTATGCCCTACGAATGGTACCTATTCCCCATCGCCTAAAACCACCTTATCGATGATCAGTGCTCGATCGATATTCCGGGGAGATGAGATTGGCGGTCAGGCCGAGAGCAAAGAGTTCCAGATCCCATCGCATCGAAAGCGGTCCCATTGTTCTTCACAGGGGCCACGCCTCGTGTCTGTAATTACAGGCAGATCCTCCAAGAGCCCTTTGATGCGAGCGCCTAGTACAAAGGGCCCGAACCTGGCAGCTCTTCGCCCCTGACAAACCCGAACGCTGATAGATCGGGAAATTAAAGATCGCGATAACGATGTTACGCTCGTTCGCCAATTGCTGTCCTTTTTAGAGCCCAGGGGCCCAGGATGACTCGGTGACTCCTAGCGATGAGCAAAATTGACCATGCAAAAGTGCATCCACCTGGTCCTGGGGCACTATACCTCTGATTTGGATTTCCTGATGCGTCGTTTAATGGATTCGTGGAAGACATCGGAATCGGCCGCCTTTGGGGTCGACTTTCGAGTCTCCAACGGCATTTCGTCAAGGGAAACCGAGAGGGGTCCGTTTCTCTGAAGGCATCGGTGACGAAAGACGAAGCCGATCCGGATCCGACCAATGGGCAACCGGTAGCTCCCGGAGTTATCGCCGAGACGAATTCCGAGCTGAAAACTCGTTTGACCAACGAGGTGGTTCGGTTCGCCGGGTGTTTTACTACCCTGGGCCCACTCTGGGCTATGACCGTTGGCTCAAGGCGGTCTAGGAGGCGCGTCTCCAATTTCAGT